CGTTTGCGTTTAGTTTGTATTATGTTATAACATACTTTCATTTTTATGTAAACCGAGCCTTAAACGTTAATCGAGGCGATTAACAGTCAGGCTGGCCGAACTGTGAGAACTGTGAGGCTGGTCAAACTGTGACACCCCTTTATTACACGTTCAAATATTTGTATATCTTAAATCAACGATCATGTTGCCAAGTCGAAGCAATTTCTTACATGACAAAATTGCACAGCAACGGAGTCTTATGTTAATTTATTAATAGTTTTGTTAAACGCCTTGGCAACATTCCCAATATATAAACGGAAGACGAAGTGCCGGCGGCAGATCTTTGTGCGCATTCTCTGATTCTCGTCATAATAAAAGATTCCTTACACCATGGATGATTGTATCGATGGCCAATTTTATGAGGCGTACCACGACGAGAACTCCAAATATTCCAGCGGTAGCAGATCCAAAGGCAACGAATCCGTTTCAGATTCGTGAGGTAGCATTTTCAACGATTTTCTGCAAGGATACTTCATTCAGCAGATTGTATTGTTACGCCCGCGTCTACGCCCGCGTCTATGCGTTCGATGTACCAGCGAGCCGGCTTGAGCTGTCAGCTGTTTCCTTGACGACGTGTTGTCGCCTGTCAAACGGAAGACAGAAGAGATTTGAAAAAAACCCGTCGTGCCGTGCGGACGTGCTTTGCTCTGCTCTATCTATTCGCTACGTTATTTGTTCACAGTTATAATAAAGAGTGTTCTTTGTGTTTCTAATTGGTGTTCCTTTTATTTCCCCGCGGCCTTCCGGTGCGCGTGCGCGAACGCGAGTGCGGAAGTGCGAACGTTACGCGAACGAGTGCGTGATCGCGAGATTCACCGCTTCAGGCGTAACAGTATATTGAAACTACATCGTCGTGGATTGCATGTCTTGACACACCCCTTGCCATGGTGTTTAGCAAGGCTGGTTTTTCAGCGGGAAACATAATGTGGTCTGTCAATTTATCAATGTCGGTTTGAGAGTATATTCCGCTGATGGCTAATGGTCCCGGTGTAGCATACTCCCAGGTTAAAGAAGTCAGCGGCTTCAGGCTCTGAGGCAGCTCTTGTCTGATGTGCGGCTCTGGCGTGAATTGAATCCACGTGTCTTTGACATGATACATGGTAGGTAATTTGAAGCTGTATTCTCGCATGGTTCCGACCTTGATGAGAACGCGAGATTTATATATTATAAAGAGTGAATTGTTCCTTACTGTTTCGGGCAATTCCATGTAACATTCTTTAGTTCGGCGAATGGTTACATCAACAGGAATACGTTTGACGATATGGATGGTTTCTCCGGCAGTAACCGCCATGTAGTATGGTCCTTTCATCAATTTGTATGCGAATTCGTCAGGCTGAAGCGTGGCGAATGAGAGGGTATTGCGTAGCACTTTCTTTTCCAGTGCACAACGCTGATGCATAAAATTGCGATAGAGAGAAGTCATTTAATGGCGGATATGCTTTTCCACGTAAACAAATTTAGAGTTTACGTAGGTAAAGATATCGAGGTCAATGGAGAAAGAGCCTCGATGAGCGAAGGCTTCCTCCTTCTTAGTTTCCAGAATAAATAATTTAAGATGTTCCGTTCGCAAGAGTGTGTATTCGCATAACGGCTGCTCTTTGGTTTTCGCTAAGGCAAACGTGATGTCGTCTGTAGTAAGAGTGTAAATAGTAGGAGCTGATGTAGAAGAGATCTGTTATTTTCGTTGCTACCCCTTCATATAGGACATCGTATTATTGAAAGTTGCAGGACGATGTAGGCATGGGCTTCCAAAAGAAGTGCCCATCATCAGAATCTATGCAGAATCCGTCAGCGAGAACGCACACGGTCCCAGACTTGAGGATGATTTTTCCTGACTCCAGGTATACTGATACGTAAGATGATTTCAAAATGATCCGGACAATGGCATCGACGATGACATTGTCCCATGTTCCGTGGATCGGAGTACTGTGTACCCTGACAGCTTCCGTCGTTTCATACTGTTCCGGCTAGCATAACGCTGCGAGCAGTGGAGGAATTTGGTTTCAATCTATCGTTTCAATCTATCGTCCCTACGTTCCGGCGGTCCCGACTGTTAAGATCCTGGAACATTCGTAAGCACTTGGTGTGGCCAATGTCCATGAGGTACTCCATCCGGATGTTGTTGACGGACGAAGTATGCGAGTGCATTCCACAGTACTGGATCTGTCGTGATAATTCAACTTTACACTAAATCACTTTGGCATAGTGGTATTCGGATAGTTGCAACAATTGCATATAAATGTTTGTAGTGTTTGGTGTTCTATGTTTTAAATCGCATTCACTGACATCAAGTAAAGAACATGACATTGAAGTAATATAATGTTCATGTGCTGTCCTCCGCAGTCATATCTGATAAGTCCAGAGACAGCGGGTAACAATATGAATAATATAACGAGGTACAACATTGTCTGTAATGAGATAATCATTTTACATAAATGCTTGTAGCGCGTTTTCATTCAAGTATAAACGTATTAGCTTAGTGTCTAATATGCTATAAAATAATGTGTATGTTGTGTTATGGTCAAAGCCCATTTTTCTCATGGTATAGGCAAATTTTATGTAAGTCTTAAAACAATCTCCACAACTTAAGGCACTTTGTATCATTCGTAGATCCATATTACAGTTTGAACATTGACTATGATCAGCGGATCCTAGTCCATAGACCAAGTTATCAAATATTGAAGATTCGGAACCATAGGCTATGCCATGAAATAGGGAAGCTCTAAATGACGGCGGTTCGTCATTGGCTTCGTAGCAATACAAACAATAGGTAACTGTTGTGATGTCTGAGTGGTATTGGTATGATAAAATTCGCACACACTGACTATCGACTAGGGCTGTTACTTTTCACTTACTTCGAATATTCAAAGCTTCGGAAGAATTCGAAGCTTCGAATTTAACTTCGACCTTTCGAAGTTTAAGGTACTTTCGAAGCTTCGAAGCTTCGAAGTTAATTTTATTTATTTTATTATTATTATATATATATGCTAAAGTGGTAAGTAGGTAAGTGTAAATGTGCACGCGCGTGCGCGCGTGCGTGCGTGTGTGTGTGTGTGTGGGGGGGGGGGTAAAGTGTAAATGTGAGTGAGTGAGTGAGTGTGTGCGCGTGTGTGTGCGCGTGTGTGTGTGCGTGTGCGTGTGTGTGTGTGTGTGGGAGGGGTGGATGTGAATGTGTGTGTGTATCGGTGGATGGGTAGACGTTAAATTAATAATTGTATAATTTTGAATTTTAAAGGTTTAAAGTTTAAAGTACCGAAATTTCAAAGCTTCGAAGATTTCAATACCGATCTTTCAAAACCTTCGAAGCTTCGAAGGCTTCGACCTTCGAATTTCGAAGCTTCGAAGGTTCGAAGTTCGAATGTCGAAGCTTTCGAAGGAAATCACCAGCCCTACTATTGACTAACTTAGGATATTTTCTAATAAGAAAATGCGGCTTATATGTATAGTTACATAGTGGACACATTTTAATGTATCTACTTTAATTTTTCTTTATATTGATATCGCTATCGTTAAATACATTAACCTTGAACGTGGTTTCTCGATAATCTATCTTTCGGTTATATAAGCTTCGCAATAATTTTAGATATTTATCCATGCACCCCACCGAAAATGTTCGATTAAAACCGATTATAAAAAAAGTTATCCGAATCGATCCAGATTTCTGCATCGAAAATACGATATCAAAAAGGATTAAAATCATTCAAATTGGATATAAATCACTTTAGACGAATTAGTATCAGGTGATAGGAATCTATGTCAATCCAAACTTCGACGATTGCTTGTACAAAAAAAGCAATTAGTCGATCCAAAATTTACTGATTGATATATGAATATATCATGTCAAAATTAATTATATAGTTCAACTAGTAATAAAATTTAAAAGTAATATATATTTTATTATTCGAAATCTAATATAGAATTAATCAAATCAATAACAAGAAAAAATTTTCGAAACCAAACTCGAATTTATGACGAATGTAAGGATTAATACAACATTTCAATGCGCGCATATTATTATATTTCAGGACACAAATCTCAATCGAAATGGATTATTTTTTTTAAATCGGTTTTAATCGCATTTTTTCAACTAACGGTCACCCATCCAAGCCACGTCGACTTCCGTTAACGCTGCTTGACTTCTGTGATTGAGAACTGCAGACACTTCGTGATGATCCATGATTACTCGATATTAATAAATACATATCCATGATAGATCAGATCAATAAAATTATCAAAAAGATAAAAATATTTTTTTTATAAATGTTAACATACAATAACATAATAGATAGTCGAAATAACGACAGTAAAATACAAATAAGTACAACACAATGTAA